CTGAAGGACAATGAGAGCTCAATGGCTCATCGGGGCATCTAGAGGTAATACAGGTGAAACTCAAAAATGTAGAATATTGTGCAAAAGTTAATTTATTTCAGTAACTTAAAAGGTGAAACTAATATATGAGATAGACTCATTACATGCAAAGCAAGGTAGTTCAAGCCGTGATTTGTCATAATTGTGATGATTATGGCTTACAGCTCATGAAAACCCCAAATCCACAACCTCAGAAAATGAGAATATTGTGAAAAGGTGCAATATTCTTGGCTCAAATTGTCCCACTCTAATCAGCTAATTAAGCCATAACACCTGCAATGGGTTCCTGAGCCTTTAAATGGTCTCTCAGTCTGGTTCCGTAGGAATCACAATCATGGGAAAGACTGCTGACCTGACAGTTGTGCAGAAAACCATCACTGACACCCTCCATAAGGAGGGAAAGCCTCAAAATGTAATTGCAAAAGAAGTTGGATGTTCCCAAAATGCTGTATCAAAGCACATTAATAGAAAGGTATGTGGAAGGGAAAAGTGTGGAAGAAAATGGTGCACAAGCAGCAGGGATGACCACAGCCTGGAGAGGATTGTCAGAAAAAGGCCATTCAGAGGTGTTGGGGACTTTCACAAGGAGTGGACTGAGGCTGGAGTCAGTGCATCAAGAGCCACCATACACAGACGGATCCTGGACATGGGCTTCAAATGTCGTATTCCTCTTGTCAAGCCACTCTGGAACAACAAACAACGTTAGAAGCGTCTTACCTGGGCTAAACAAAAACAGACCTGGTCTGTTGCTCAGTGGTCCAAAGTCCTCTTTTCTGATGAGAGCACCTTTTGCATCTCATTTGGAAATCAAGGACCCAGAGTATGGAGGAAGAATGGAGAGGCACACACTGCAAGATGCTTGAAGTTCAGTGTGAAGTTTCCACAGTCTGTGTTGATTTGGGGAGCCATGTCATCTGCTGGTGGTGGTCCACTGTGCTTCATTAAGTCCAGGGTCAACGCAGCCGTCTACCAGGAGATTTTGGAGCACTTCATGCTTCCTTCCGCAGATGAGCTTTATGGGGATGCTGACTTCATTTTCCAGCAGAACTTGGCACCTGCCCACACTGCCAAAAGCACCAAAACCTGGTTCAATGACCGTGGGATTACTGTGCTTGATTGGCCAGAAAACTCGCCTGACCTGAACCCCATAGAGAATCTATGGGACATTGCAAAGAGAAAGATGAGAGACGTGAGACCGAACAATGCAGAAGAGCTGAAGGCCGCTATTGAAGCATCATGGTCTTCCATAACACCTCAGTAGTGCCACAGGCTGATAGCTTCCATGCCACGACGCATTGAGGCAGTAATTGCTGCAAAAGGGGCCCAAACCAAGTACTGAGTACATATGCATGCTTATACTTTTCAGACGTCCGATATTGTTCTATGTTCAATCCTTGTTTTATTGATTGCATGTAATATTCTAATTTTCTGACATTGTGGATTTGGGGTTTTTATGAGCTGTAAGCCATAATCATCACAATTATGACAAATCACGTCTTGAACTATCTTGCTTTGCATGTAATGAGTCTATCTCATATATTAGTTTCACCTTTTAAGCTGCATTACTGAAATAAATGAACTTTTTCACAATATTCTAATTTTTCGAGTTTCACCTGTATATGAGCCTGCGCTCACTACTGGCCATAAGATTTGAAGGAAATTCAACCAGAAGAGAAAATATTCTAAGAACATTAGATTTTGCCCTATTCTCACAACAGCTGAATACTTTGCACAGAACGAATGTACTTTCAGTTTCTCTCGATGAATAGCTGTGTAATTTTTTTATAAACAGACCCTATGAAGTCTGAAACAGTTCAGGTGCAACTAAAATAACATATTAGTTTTAACCTCTTTACAACCGCGTTATAGTCGAATGATGGCAACAGTGTGGGATGTTTGGTTCTGGGAGGGCGTCATATGGCGTCCTCCCAGAACGCGCCCCCCGCACACCCCCAGTGGTGCTCAACCGGCGCTTTCAGTGATCGCCGGGTGTTCTACAGACACAGCTGATCATGTGACTAGGTAAAAGGCCAATCACAGCAATCTTTTACCATGTGATCAGTTGTGTCCAATGACACAACTAATCACAAAGTAAATACAGTTGCCGCTTATCAGTAGCACTTTCCTCACGTTGTTGCAGCGTGAGGAAAGCACTGATCATCAGTGCCGCACAGCAGTGCTGCCCATCAGTGCCACCCAGCAGTGCCCATCAGTGCCACCCAGCAGTGCTATCAGTCAGTGCTGCCTTTCAGTGTCTATCAGTGCCACCTATCAGAGCCCATCATTGCTGCATATCAGTACAGCATCATCAGTGCCTCCTCATTAATGCCCACTAGTGCTGCTCATCAGTGCAGCATATCGGTGTCCATTAGTGCTGCCTATCCGTGCCACCTCATCAGTGCTGCCTATCAGTGCAGCCTCATCAACGCACATCAGTGGAGAAAAATTACCTCTTTGCAACATTTTATAATAGAAACAAAGAAACCTTTTTTTTTTATTTTTGCTTTTTTGTTTATAGTGCAAAAAATAAAAACCCCTCTGGTGATTAAATACCACCAAAAGTTCTATTTGTGTGAAAAAATTATAAAATATTGATATGGGTACAATGTTGCATGACTGCGCAATTGTCATTCAAAGTGCGACAGTGCTGAAAGCTGAAAATTGGCCTGTGCTGGAAGTGCCCGGTAGGCAAGTGGTTAATTCTTGTTGCTTTTACTGCATCCCATCTGTTATAATGAAAGAGGTCAGCATGATAGTCTGGAGAATGTCAGCTTGTTGTCTATAATGATCAGCATGTACAGAGAAAGCAGTGTCAGCAGCAAGGCATGTTCTCACAGATAATTAAAGCGGAACTATACTCACCTTCACTCCAGTGCTGCATCTCCCATAACTCCCTGACAGCTGCTGGCATCTTCAGCCGGTCTGCTTCTGCGTATTGATCTTCAGCTCATGTCATTGGCCGGGCTGAGATGCAACTTTCCACTCTCTGCGTGGGATCTCATACATGTCAACACTGCTTATATTGTACAGTGTACAGGGCAGACAGGCAGATGACAAACTGTATTGCAGGAGAGAAATAATAGTATGTCTCCATGGTATTGAAATCCTTCCTGTTCACCAATTATTTTTGTTTCCTAAAATTCCACTTTACTCTATGGATAGCTCTCCTTTCTTATGTAGCCAAGTGCTTGGATAAGAATGGAGAGAGAGAAAAACTGGCTGCAGCTGTTCTAGCTACTGCTCTGTATTGCTGACTTGGGTAACAGCTATATCAGTGAAAGGAGGGGGGGGGTGCTGAGCAGGAAGAATTCAACAGACTGAGTCAGGCAGTACTGTGGGAACTGTAGTCCAGAGGAGAGACTTACTCCTGACCCCTGCACTCTATGCATACTTACTCCTGACCTCTGCACTCTGTGCATACTTACTCGTGCCCCCTGCACTCTGTGCATACTTACTCCTGACCTCTGCACTGTGTGCGTACATATTCCTGACCTTGGCACTCTGTGTGTACTTACACCTGACCCCTACACACTGTGCATACTTACTCCTGACCTCTGCACTCAGTGTACTTACTCCTGCACTGTGTACTTACTCCTAACCCCTGCACTGTGTGCGTATTTACTCCTGAACTCTGCACTTTGTGCGTACCTACTCCTGAACTCTGCACTTTGTGCGTACCTACTCCTGACCTCTGCACTCTGTGTGTAGTTACTCCTGAATCCTCCTGCACTTTGTACTTACTCCTGAATCCTGCACTCTGTGTACTTACTTCTGACCTTTGCACTCTGTGCATACTTATTCCTGACCCCTGCACTCTGTGTGTACTTACTCCTGACCCCTGCGCGTAACTACACCTGATCCCTGCACACTGTGTGTACCTACCACTGACCCCTGCACTCTGTGCTTTCTTACTCTTGACCTCTGCACTCTGTGTTTACTGACTCCTGCACTGTGTACTTACTCCTGACCACTGCACTGTGTGTGTACCTACTCCTGACCTCTGCACTCTTTCTGTACGTACTCCTGAGCTCTGCACTTTGTGCATACTTACTTCTGACCTCTGCAGTCTTTCTGTACTTACTCCTGAATCCTGGGTGTACTTACTCCAGACCCCTGCACTGTGTGTACTTACTCCTGACCCCTGCACTCTGTGTGTACTTACTCCTGAATCCTGCATTGTGTGTACTTACGCCTGACCCTGCACTGTGTATCTACTCCTGACCACTGCACTGTATATGTACTCCTGACCACTGCACTCTTTCTGTACTTAATCTTGCATTCTGTGTGTACTTACTCCTGCACTGTGTGTGCTTACTCTTGACCCATGCACGGTGTGTACTTACTCCTGAACCTTGCACGGTGTGTACTTACTCCTGACCCATGCACGGTGTGTACTTACTCCTACCCTCACGGTGTGACCCTGATGCACTCTTTGCGTACTCACTCCTGACCCCTGCACTTTGCATACTCACTCCTGACCCATGCCTGGAGTGTACTTTCTCCTGACCCCTGCACTCTTTGCGTACTCACTCCTGACCCCTGCACTGTGCGTGCTTACTCCTCACCCATGCCTGGAGTGTACTCACTCCTGACCCCTGCACTCTTTGCGTACTCACTCCTGACCCCTGCACTCTTTGCGTACTCACTCCTGACCCCTGCACTCAGCTCCTTGTAATGCAAGCCATGTGAAGCACACTAACATATTATGAGATGACTTAGCAGCTGGAAACTTTTCCTGTTTTAACAAGTTTCCACCCTAAGTGGTCAGCAGTGCATTCCCCGGACACACGTCTATGCGGAGGAGATCAGGAACATGAGGAAGAGATCTCCACCCCTCTCCGTGCTCCCCCCGAGCCAGGTACAGTGCCCAACCTCCTCCTGATCACACTATCCCACCAGACACATGGGGCAGCCATTAGAGGCGACACTGGGCACAGCACGTGGGTAGCGGCGCGGGTCACATGGTCCAGCGTCACTTCCTGCCCGTCCTCTTGGCTTCCACCTTGCTCCCCGCGTGTGTGCGCGTTCTGTGCCGCCGCTTCCCGGATACCTTTAAACCCGCTGTGTACCCACAAACACCCGCTTGCAGGCTACGGAAGGTGAGGAGGGGCGGGGCTCTTCCGGCTGGGCTCGGGGAAGGAGGGGGTCTGTGGTGAAGGGACCTCAATTTTACATCAGGGCTCGGCGTGTGTTCTCTACAACCGGCCTAGCCCGTCTATGGTGTGGGGACGGGGGAGCAGTGCTGCCCATAATGTGTGTTGTCTGGGCGCTGGACTGATCCGGGGATTGTCCGTATGTGGGGTGTATGACTGGGACGGGGATATAGGAGCAGGGGGACGAGGACCGAGAGACAGGAGCAGGGGGACGAGGACCGAGAGACAGATAGGGGCAGGGGGGGGGCGAGGACCGAGAGACAGGGGCAGGGGGGGGGCGAGGACCGAGAGAGAGAGACAGGAGCGGGGGGCGAGGACCGAGAGACAGGAGCGGGGGGGGCGAGGACCGAGAGACAGATAGGGGCAGGGGGGGGCGAGGACCGAGAGACAGATAGGGGCAGGGGGGGGGGGCGAGGACCGAGAGAGAGAGACAGGGGGGGGGGGGGCGAGGACCGAGAGGACGAGAGACAGAGAGCAGGGGGGGGGGGAGGACCGAGAGACAGATAGGGGGGGGGGGGGGCGAGGACCGAGAGAGAGAGACAGGAGGGGGGGGGGGGGGGCGAGGACCGAGAGACAGGAGCGGGCGGGGGGGGGGGCGAGGACCGAGAGAGACAGATAGGGGCAGGGGGGGCGAGGACCGAGAGACAGATAGGGGCAAGGGGGGGGGCGAGGACCGAGAGAGAGAGACAGGAGCGGGGGGGGGGGGGCGAGGACCAAGAGACAGGAGCGGGGGGGGGGGGGCAGGGGCGAGGACCGAGAGAGACAGGAGGGGCAGGGGGACGAGGACCGAGAGACAGATAGGGGCAGGGGCGGGGGGACGAGGACCGAGAGAGACAGATAGGGGCAGGGGGGGGGCGAGGAGAGAGAGACGAGAGATAGGGGCAGGGGGGGGCGAGGACCGAGAGAGAGAGACAGGAGAGGGGGGGGGGGCGAGGACCGAGAGAGAGAGACAGAGAGCGGGGGGCGAGGACCGAGAGAGAGAGAGACAGTGAGCGGGGGGGGGACGAGGACCGAGAGAGAGAGACAGGAGGGGGGGGGGACGAGGACCGAGAGAGAGAGACAGGAGCGGGGGGGGGACGAGGACCGAGAGAGAGACAGGAGCGGGGGGGACGAGGACCGAGAGAGAGACAGGAGGGGGGGGACGAGGACCGAGAGAGAGACAGGAGCGGGGGGGACGAGGACCGAGAGAGAGACAGGAGCGGGGGGGACGAGGACCTAGAGAGAGACGGGAGGGGGGTGGCGAGGACCGAGGGAGAGAGACAGGAGCACGGGGACGAGGACCGAGGGAGAGAGACAGGAGCAGGGGGGACGAGGACCGAGGGAGAGAGACGGGGGGGGGGGGGACCTAGAGAGAGACAGGAGGGGGGCGCTGAGGAGTACCTAGAGAGAGACAGGAGCGGGGGGCGAGGACCTAGAGAGAGACAGGAGCGGGGGGGGGGAGAGAGGACATAGAGAGACAGGAGGGGGGGGGGGGGGGGGGGCGAGGACCTAGAGAGAGACAGAAGGGGGCGAGGACCTAGAGAGAGACACAGAAGGGGGGGGGGGCGAGGACCTAGAGGGAGACAGGAGTGGGGGGGGACCTAGAAAGAGACAGGAGCGGGGGGGGGGGGAGGTCAATGGTCAAGAGATGACAGGAGCGGGGGGGGGGGGGGGTCAATGGTCAAGAGATGACAGGAGCAGGGGGCTGAGTGTCGGGAGGTGCTTCCAGCAGTCCATGGCTCCTGTGCTGTCCTATCATCCCTCGGTATGTTGTACCTCCATGGACATCACTCCTGATGGCTCAGGTACAATCTGACATTCTTCATTGTGTTAAAGCTAAACCCTCGAATTCCTCCCCTCCCCTCCCAGTGTTGGTTTGGTTACATCCCTCACCATTCACTGTCCTTTTCTTTCTGGCTGCTTCCAGTTGCTGGATTTCAGCCTCCTGATTGGCTAATGGGGGAGTGACATCATCTTGATCATGTGCACAGGGAGTCAGTCTTTCCGGCACAGCCAGGATGCACCTGAAATGCAGATGTATGGGGACACAGCCACTCCTAATTTGACAGGCAAGTGGCCCAAAATGCACACTGCCTGACAGGGGCCACTTGCTGGTCATATTAGGATGAGTGGCTGTGTCCCCATACATTGACATGGGCTCACACGGTCCTAAGTACCTGTGTGAGACATAAAGTGGAATTAAACTGCAGGATCTTCCCCTCCACCTTCCAGCCATGTGGCATTTCCATCCCTCTCTGGCCGCTGTCATCTCACTGAAGATGAATGCAGATCAGGTGAAACTCAACCAGAAGGCACTTCAATCCATTGCAAGAGGGTCTCTTTGTGAGATGTCAGCTGCTCTGTAACAGTGGGATCATTCCAGAATGTATGTGATGTCCCATTCTCCTCGGGCCATGGCAGTGAGATGGGGAGGAGTTCTAGTGGAACTAAATGTGAAAAAAGGAACAAGCAGGCGTTTTATAGTAGAAGAGAAATGCAATATCTCTTCTATAATGTACACTTGGCTGCCTGTTCACAGTTCTGTACGGAATGCACACTAAGCTGCGCATGCACAGCCCAGTTTACATTCTGCCACACTGCCACTGTGCAGGAATAACTGAACGCATGCGTGGGGAGTGACCTCATCCCTCAGGCTAATCCAAATAGCCGAAGACTGGTATCTGAGTAGAAGATTCCACTAATTGGACATTGTAGGTGCTGGAGCAAAGGTAAATATTTATTCCTTTAGTTCTGCTTTAACTCCAACAGTACGCAAATATGCAGCCTCCCTGGAATGGGCTTTTGTTTGTGTGGGGCGCATATTTGTGTTTGTGCTGGGAATGCACCACACAACACACTCATAGTGAAAAAAACCCGGGGTCTCACCAGGAGCCCCAGGTCCCATACTAACAATCGGGACCCAGAAATTCCCAGTTCTGGATCACCTTATTGCTGTGATAGCCTTGATTGGCTCACAGTGATCAGTCACTGTGAACCCCCTCCTGTGTTTTCTCTCTCTCTGAATAAAGGGGGAGAGATACATTGGGGTTGGTTTACTAAAGGTAAATATACTGTGCACTGCAAGTGCATTTGCTTTATATCCGAGGGGAAGCTCTGATATGAGCCGAAGCTGTGCTGATTTTTTTGTCCTCCAATCAAGTGCAAGCAAAAATTGTTTTTTATTTCCTTTTTCTTCATTTTTTCTTTTCCTTGATTAAGGATTAAAAAAAATGTTTTTAACTTTGTATCAGTGTCACTATGTTTTAGGTAGGCTAAAAAAAATGCACACTATTGTTTCTGAGCTGCACTACGGATACATAGAACAAGCAACATACAGTGCCTTATTCATACCGCTTGAAATTTTCCAAATTTTTATCATGTTACAACCAAAAACGTAAATGTATTTTATTTGGATTTTATGTGATAAACCAACATAAAGTGGCACATAATTCTCAATTGGAAGGAAAATGATAAATGGTTTTCAAAATGTTTTACAAATATCTGAAAAGTGTGGAGTGCATTTGTATTCAGCCCCCTTTACTCTGATACCCCAACTAAAATCTAGTTTAACCAATTGCCTTCAGAAGTCACCTAATTATTAGAGGCCACCGGTGTGTAATGTGTCTCAGTATAAATACAGCTGTTCTGTGAAGCCCTCAGAGGTTTGTTAGAGAACATTCGTAAACAAACAGCATCATGAAGGCCAAGAAACACACCAGACAGGTCAGGGATAAAGTTGTGGAGATATCTAAAGCTGGGTTGGGTTATAAAAAAATATCCCAAGCTTTGAACATCTCACAGAGCACTGTTCAATCCATCATCCGAAAATGGAAAGAGTATGGCACAACTGCAAACCTACCAAGACATGTCCATCCACCTAAACTGACAGGCCGGGCAAGGAGAGCATTAATCAGAGAAGCAGCCAAGAGACCCATGGTAAGTCTGGAGGAGCTACAGAAATCCATAGCTCAGGTGGGAGAATCTGTACACAGGACAACTATTAGTCGTGAACTCCACAAATCTGGCCTTTATGGAAGAGTGACAATAAGAAAGCCATAAGAAGTCTCATTTGCCGTTTGTGGGAAGCCATGTGGGGGACACAGCAAACATGTAGAAGAAGGTACTCTGGTCAGATGAGACCAAAAATGAACTTTTTGGTCTAAAGGCAAAATGCCATGTGTGGTGAAAAACTAACACTGCACATCACCCTGAACACACCATCCCCAACTTGAAACGTGGTGGCAACATCATGTTGTGGGAATGTTTTTCTTCAGCAGGGACAGGGAAGCTGGTCAGAGTTGATGGGAAGATGGATGGGGCCAAATACAGGGCAATCTTAGAAGTAAGCCTGTTAGAGTCTGCAAAAAGACTTGAGACTGGGGTGGAGGTTCACCTTCCAGCAGGATAACAACCCTAAACTTACAGCCAGACAATGGGATGGTTTAGAACAACGCATATTCATGTGTTAGATTGGCTCAGTCAAACTCCAGACCTAAATCCAATTGAGAATCTGTGGCAAGACTTGAAAATTGCTGTTCAGACACTCTTCATCCAATCTGACAGAGCTTGGGCTATTTTGCAAAAAAGAATAGGCCAACGTTTCACTCTCTAGATGTGCAAAACTGGTAGAGACATCCCCAAAAAGACTTGCAGCTGTAATTGCAGCCAAAGGTGGTTCTACAAAGTATTGACTCAGGGGGCTGAATACAAATGCACGCTACACTTTTCACGTATTTATTTGTAAAACAATTTTGAAAACCATTTGTCATTTTCCTTCCACTTCACAATTGTGTCACTGTGTGTTGGTCTATCACATAAAATCCCAATAAAAAACATTTATGTTTTCAGTTGTAACATGATAAAATGTGGAAAATTTCAAGGGGTATGAATACTTTTTCAAGGCACTGTACACATGATATTGCTACAATTGCTGAGAACAGAAGAATTTATTTTTGGTTGTTCTTTGG